CAGGAGGGTTGGACTAGATGACCCACAGAGGTCCCTTCCAACCCCTACTATTCTGTGATTCTGTGATACTTTTGGGGAAGTGCTGGTGCCTGCAGGAGCACTAAAAGACTAATCACTGCTGTCAGACCATCATCAAGCAGCAGGAAGAATCCCAGGGGCACCAAAGCATCTTGTTCTGCGCTGCGGGATTTTATGCACAGAAGTTACTTCACTTGGCTGTCTGACAGGAAAACAAGCAAATCTTCATTTTGTGTAGCAGCAGGTAACGTATTACACCAAATTTGTAAAAAATTTAACAGAACAGTTATCGGAGAAATAGTTGCTAACACTGACAATCACATCCTTGTTGATGTTAGGGGATTTATTTTCCATTCTTTCCTATGCTTCTCCAGTTCAGCTGCTTCCCTCATTTGACAATCTTCCATAAAGACACTGAAGAAAATGATGCCACAAAGCGTTTGGAGGATGGAGTGTTTACAAAGCATATAAATAGACTGTGCTATATCCAGAGTAACTAGTTGTAAGCAAAGTACTAAAAAATGTGGAGAACTTACAAGTATGCCAGATGACTGAAAATCCAGGATTTACTCAAATGTTAAGGATAGGTTGCATGTTATATGTATATTGGTAAATGCCACTGCATAATCGGAGGGCAAAAAACAAGCAATGGTTTACATTCAGGCCAAATTCATATAATACAGCTGAAATATCAATTGAACCAGATGTTAATTTAGATCATGACCCTGAAAATACGTTTCTGCAATCTGAAGTGCAATGTGCACGGCAGGATGTGTTTTCCTAGACTATTTACCGAAAACTGAATTATTCTGAAAGAGCCTTAAAAACCTTAGAATTCTTCAGAACTTTGCCATTGTAAATACAGCTTCTGGGGAGAATTCTTTAGAAAAAGAACAGTAGGCACTGAAAATATGCCTCGTTTCTGTTGTGTAAGCAGCTAGTTTGCAGTGCAAAACCCTGGCCCTCCTTGCCCCCTGCTGTTATGTTTTAAAAATTAATGCAGGGCTTCATCAGATCAATGTTTATTTCAGACAGGGAGTCTTTGGCGGAGCTGTAGCTAATGTCCTTGGCGTGTTTTAAGTAGCATATCAGAATGAATCATCTACTTTGGTAATACTGTATTATATTTCTGTCTCTTGTTTAGAGGAGTAATGTGTAGCAAGGGAACCTTTAAGGATTCAGCCTGCAGTCTGGACGACAATTACATGTACACATGCTGCAATATGTGACTGTGGTCCATTAAAGAGCAGCAGCTCTGAACTTACACACTCTGTGCACACCTCTCTGTTGATTTACCTCCTGTAGTCTAAAGTATTAACTAATACTCCCACCTTGTATTTCCCAGAAGAGTAATACAGAACAAAAAGCCTCATAATTGTATCATGCAAACCATTTTGTTTTTCTAAAGGTCTGAAGGCATGACACTGACAGGGGCACATTCTAGCTGCAGACACGGGAGCTGGTTGCAGAGGGAAGCGCATGCAGCGCAGGGGCTGCATTATCCTCCAGCCCTCAGCACCATTCGGGTATTTCCAAGCAGATTATCAAATGCATGCAAAACATAGCAAATGCTGGTAGTTGCCATAAAATATGGTGATCATCTCAGAAACTCAATGGTTTTTTGGGCCATTGAGATTGATACACGGCATCAAGATCCTTTATTGCTCTCAGAAATGCACTTTTTGCAGAGGCACATTTAGAGCTTGAGGTAAACCTAGAGGCAGATGCGGGCTGTGCTGTCAGTCTCTGCCCTGAATGTCTAACTTCAGTTAGGCACTATTGGTAACACCATGGTTCTTCATGGGATGCAAGACTCATGGTCTTGTTTCATCTCATGCAGTGGCTTCCTCACCTTCCCCAGAAACTGCTCTCCACAGGGATAATATCAGGTGAATATACTGTAGCAGAGTCCGGCCCTTTGCAACCTCACATCTATATTCTCTACCATCGTGCTGTAGCATGGAGTGTCTTCACCCAAGATTGCTTCCTTCCCAGTCTGCTGTTGTATACTTCCAAATGCTGTAAATGTGAAAAGCTTGACGTATGGTGGCACTTCAAGTTGCGCTGGGCTTCTTTTTTGTCCCGTAGTGGATAAGTCTGAAGAGATTATCCTCCCAGACAACACCAGCTGTGTTATAACAACTTTAGTTCTCACTTATTTGGATTGCCATATCTACCACCACACTAGGCTCTACAGCATGGGCTTGCTATTGTCTGCCTGAGCTCACGCATCTGAAAACTGCAAACGGCAGTATGCTACCCCCTGATGATACTCCTGCTCACGTTTAAAACAAAACCAGGAATAGGCTACTAATAGGAGGTCATCTAGTTTTCACGCTGAGCTCAGCTGCAGCTCCTGAGTGTGTCCCAAGAATCACCGAGAACCTCATCCTTTTGCATTTTTCTTCTCCCGCATGGAGCATGGCCCCTGCACCTTGTGCCTCTTCCTGCTCTTTCCCCTCTGTTTGTACGGCACAAAGCTGTAAAGCCAGATTGTTCAGCATCTTGTTTGGTGTGCTGCTTTCCTCGACAGCTGAGCTTTCCTGTGTTCCCTGTGAGGGGAAGAACACACACAGAGATGATCAAGGGAGCCAGACAGTGCTGTACGTCGGAACAGCAATTCATGTAGCTGCATCTTGTATGTGGCTTTAAGTTCTGTGGTCCTTACGCAATAGCCTTATTGGAGTACTTCGATAACGTCTCAGAAAACATTTCAGCATAATAAGGAAAGGTTTCTTTGGCAAACCAACCCAGTTTTTTATCTGCTGGTTGCATGCAAGCATAGACTTCATCTTTTTCATACTCTAATGATGTGGATTTTTTTTTTCCCCTCCCACTAGCAATTCTTAAACTATATTGCATACCCATCTAAAAGTTTCTTAAATATATACGCCACGCTATAGCACTGCAAACTGAGATTTAAAATAGAAGGGCAAAATAATTGTTAGTAATTTAATAAAAATACTAATTTTAATAAATGTGATTGAACTTACATGCAACCCAATGGTGTCATTCAGAGGCTGTAACATGCCATGGCTAACTCAAAGGGAACTATGACAACATTTTAAAAATAATTTTCTCCCCCCATCTTAGCGGGGGGGATAAAACTCTTTCTTTGTCTTTCCCCAGCCATCATGTTTAAGTCAGTTTAGCCAGCTGGATTATAGCTGCCCAAGCTGCTTTGAAAGTGTTAGAAACCACTCTCCATTCACTGGTTCTCACGACAGATATCTTTATCCTGACCTTGTGCTTATTTCTGACATTTGTTAAATTACTTTTATGTGGTTTGTTGACAGCATAATTTAGCTCAGGAAATGTTATAGCCAATTGCATGAAAATCTTGAATTGCTTTCCCAATGACAGGTAACAACATCTCACACCAGGGCTATATTTTGGTCTGCTTCCCTTTGTCATATTTTCAGTTTTATTTTAGCTTGCAATTGTGCAATCCTGAATGTGCTACAGTAAGAATTCACCATGAGAGGAACAGCAAATCACTTGCAAATTTCCAACCAGGCAACTTGTGTTGTCTGGATAGTCTTTTGTATGTAAAGGAGTAAAATAAATACTTACAAATAAGTAAGTTGGAGGGGATCAGTTTTAGTCTCTCAGTAGAGCAAGTCAAGCCATGCTCTGGAATGATACCGAGAAACATAGCTCATAGTTTGCAAGTCTCCTCCTCTTCAACAAGAGTGGTTCAGAATCTTTCATTTTTGCCTAAACATGATATATATTCACGAGTCCCTTGTTTCAATGATGAAAGATCAGCCTAAGTTGGCTCATTTCCGACTCTCCTTTCCAGAGAAAAGCCTGTTGCAAAATAGATTAGGAGAGGCAATGGGTGAGTAGAGCTGACACATTCTGATGCCTCGGAGAGGAGCCTGGATGCAGTCTGGAGCCAGAGGCACCACGTGCTGCTGCCCTGCGCCTTTGCCATCC